GACGACCTCCGGCGGCGACCTCCAGGGTTTCTTTGATGTGGGAGGAGAAGGCGCAACAGGGGTTCGGGATTTTTGATGTGTGAGAGATACGAAGAACAGGGCAGGTTTGGGGGGTTTTGTTTTGTTTTTTCAAATTTTGCCAAAATAAAGAGGGGAAATTTCCATTTGTTCTGCATTTTGGCGACGCAGATGAATAAAAAAGCATCATCAAAAATAGACTTTTAGTGACACAAAGCAGAGACGTTGTGAAAAAGAGACTTTTAGCGATGCTAACCTAACACGTCGCGATAAATGCACACTATTAGCAACGTCAACCCTAAAATGTCGCTAAAAATATATATTTTTACCGACAAAAATAAAAAATGTCATGAAATCCATATACTTTTAATGACGCTAAGTTAAAATGTCACAAATAATATACACTTTTAACGACGCTAATTATAAACACGGGGAAAAATATATGTTTTGCTGACGCTAGCTTAAATCGTCAGGAAAAACATAACTTTTGACGACGTATTTAACCATGCGTCGGGAATAAGCGTTGGAAAAAGTGCAATTAGTTGTAGTGAAAAACGATTTTTTCTGAAAATTAACACCCTTACGTGAGTCCAGATTGCGACCCTCAAAATAATTAAGGACGCTCAACTTGCGAGGCCTTATTAGAATTAAAATAAAACTATAACTCTTGACCATCACCAAACATTGAAGCTTTAGTATAATGTTTAGGGGACTTTAACACATAGATTAGAAACTGAAAGTTACACTAAATTGGGGCTAAAACTAAAAGGTTGAAGAGATTACATTAATCTTCTACTAATTTCCTCTTTGTTAATTGTGGTAAGTACTTGGGTTTTATGTGAAGAAAGAGGATATAGGTTTTGCAATAGTTCGAGGAGTATGAGAAGTTTTATTAAGGGGTATTTAGTAGAATATTGAGAAATTAAATGAGTTTTAATAAATTTTTAATAGCAAGAGGGGTTATGATGAGAAAATAACAATAGTCTAATTTAGAAAGGGAGCACAAAGCCACACTTCTAATCATGTCCTATATGGATTTAAATCCTCACTGCTATTGGAAAAATAGTGTAGAGACTACTACTTAATAATTAACTATCTCTACGAAAAAAGAACGGTCCCTTTACTACTTTTTTACAATTGAAAAGAGCTGAAGTTTTCACACGTATAAAATGAGAACGGTATATATACATTAGCCGAAGAGTCCGCTTGAACTCGTGGTCAACCCACTATCCAAGTATACCAGCAGCCCACACCACACATTTCCCGGCTAGACAGACGAAAGATAACCAACCACAACTCCAGAGGACCAGAACACAAAACGAAAGCACAATCTCAAACAAGATAACAATACAAAATTAAAAAAAAAAATGAAGAGCCCGTCCCTCTTAGTTCTTGTTCTCATGGCCACACTTGTTCAGTTCACAACCAACGCCCTTCATCCCATAGTGATAATCCCTGGTTCGGGGGGCAATCAATTGGAAGCTCGACTCAACCAAGACTACTACAAAAGTTCGAGCCTTTTTTGTAGGCTAACGGGCAAGAAAGATAAGGACGGTTGGTTCAGGCTCTGGTTCGATCCGACCGTTCTCTTGGCTCCACTAACTCGGTGTTTTGCGGAGAGGATGACTCTGTGCTATCACAGGGAGATTGATGATTACCGGAATGCTCCCGGAGTTGAGACCCGGGTTCCAGGTTTCGGGTCCACGGAGGGGATTCGGTATCTTGATCCTTATCTCAAGTGAGTCTCTGGTGGCTATGATCTACGATTTGACTCTGTTTTTTCTCAAGAAGTAGCATTGCAGAAGAAAGTTATACTTCCCTTATTTACTTTGGAAAATGGTAGTTGAAAATAATAATTATATTGCGTTTTACAGAAAAAAAAAATATTGATTAAACTTAGAAAATGTAAATCTTATATATACACACACACTCATTGCCCATGCTACGTACAGGTTAGTTTTGGTGTCTTTTATATATACTTATATAAATATATATAATATATATATATATATAATCTATATATATATATAGTATAATATATATATATATATATATTAGGCCGTGATGATTTTTTTTTTTGTATCTCCTCTAAAAATTGAATTGAATATTGAATTTTTTTCTTAGGACTGTGGCTTCTCCAAAAGTAGATATCTTGAGTCGGAGCTTTTTTTTCTTAGAAAGAAAAATACAAAATAAGCACAAAGATAATTTTTATATCAAAATTTAAAACTCAAATTAGATGGCTATCAATCAATCTTTTACAATATCCCTATTTTTTTGTAATATTTCAAAAAAAAATTACCTCACTTAATAAGCGTGTGGATCGTTTTATTTCAAACTTGTAAATTAAAATTAAGGAGGGACATGCGGCAATTTTTTGAGGTGTCAAGCTAATACTCGTGAAGAAATTTCTTTTTATATATAAAGGGAGGATTTAAAACATTTCTTTTTTATGTCTCTACCTTTTTAAGTAGTTTAATTTATTTTTCCACTCCTATAATAGCAGATCTAAATTTTCTTTATTTATGATGTCTTTCACTTGATTTTTATTCCCATTTAAGGTTTTAGTTCTCATCTTAATTTGACAGTCAATATATGTTGAAACAATAATAACCACTAATACACTTGGAAGATGAATAAAGCAATAATTCATTGACAAAAAAAAAAAATAACCACTAAGCTATTCTTCAATAGATATAAGGTCTTAACGTGTGTCCACTAATACCTATCATCTCTATAAAAATTGAAATGTGAGAAAATTTTACTAAACCACCAATTTTTTTGGAAATTTGATACTAAACCCCCAATACTTTTGAAACTCCGATTAAACCACCAAAAAAATTTGATAGAAAGCATCCAAATTAACATTCTTAGTTAATGTGTGGTCAAATGACCAAAATATCTCTAATAAATTTAGAAGAAGAAACCTATAAGTTTTTACCTGTCACTTAACCCCCAATAACACTTCGTAGAAATTAAACCCTAATAAGGGTTGTTTATTATTTTAAAGATTCTGTATGCATTTTTTTAGATTTTCAAAAGATTATTTCTAATTTTTAGATTTTAAAGGGGTTATTTGCAGTGTTTAGTTTTTGTTAGGAGTTATTTGTAATATCAAAAATTTTGGATAGTTCTTTATATTTTTAAAGAATTTTTTAAGGTTTTCTCAAAATTATTATAATTTTCAAAGGTCCATTTGTAATTTTAGATATATAGGGGTTTGTTTGTAATTTTTATATTTTAAAGGGATCTATTTATAGTAATTGGAGCGTCTATGTCATGCCCCCAAAATAGCAGCAAAAAATAGATACGGGGCATGCGACAGTAGCAACATGTGTGCAAGACATGTCTCCTGCACATGTCAAATCTGGCACTACGTACTACATAGCTTATCAAAAAAATATAAAATCTCATGTTGATGGTAATTCAGAGCCACTATATACATAACCAATGTTTTCAATCCAAAATCTCACACATTTACCTTATTCAAATATGTCGTTTGACTATATACAAGACGGAAGAGAGGCTTTCCTTTATAACGTCTCCTAACAAGAAATTTAGCCAGATCAAAAAAATTTAGAAAAGGACGGGGTGAGCTAAAGCACTAGAGTTCCTAGATATCAAACAAAATAATAATTTTCAAAATAGTGAATTATAACTTTTGCAACTGAATATTATGAGATGACAAAATATTACATAAAATAACATATTATTGGTATTTCCAGGAAAGAATGCAATAATTTTTGAAATTATTTCTTTTATACAAACTAAAAATATTGTCATGAATTCCTAAATCAAACCTTTGCTATCAAAATAAGCACCGAGAAAATAGAGTATTTGTTTAAAACAAAAAAGTTACCGCTTTCTCAAGTTCACAGTCAAATGTCAAGATCTCAAATCTTGATGAGTTATTCATATTATTGTAAGAATTACCTCATAGGTCATACTAAGGCTACAAATATTATAGCCTAGTTACATGGTAATGACAAACATACCACACTGTTCTTAGGAACAGAATGCATCTAACACTTTTATAGACCGCCGGCAACATCACAAATGCCCAAAAGGGCCCCATATAGGTGCATTCACTCTATGGCAAGCACAAACATATCACTCCATAGTAGATTTTTTGAGGGTTTTGAAAATATCGAGAATCACTTATCAAATACCTTGATTTTAAAGACATATCACTTCTCACATTGCTTAATTTTAAAAACTCATCGTTTGTCACATTACTTGATCTAAAAAACACATCGCTTATACCAAAAACAATATTGGTATAAATTTGTTTATTTATGAAAATCACAAACACTTTCAAATTAAGTAAACGAGTGTAAACTTATCATATCAATTAAAATGATTCAATAAATATTTATTTTTGTTTCAAATACCAAATAACGAAAAATCTCTTCAATCCGTCAAACTACTGAAACACTTCTTCAATAGCTTTCAAATAAAGCAATCTTAACAATTATTTGAGAAAGAATCAAAATCATTTATCACATTTTATGTGAATCAAGCACTTTTAATATTTCATATGAAATAAAAAGCATATTATGTGTTAGGTCACAATAGAATAGATCAAATCACTTTATATACATGAAAAATAATAGAATATTTATTTTTTCGAGCATGAGAGCAATATAATATAGTACTCATACAATTTTATACTATAAAAATACTAGTGAAAAATGAATTCACCTCTTAACTGATTGGAGTATCCAAACTTTTCTAATATAATATAGTACTCATACAATTTTATACTATAAAAATACTAGTGAAAAAATGAATTCACCTCTTAACTAAGACCATATGCTTATTGATAATTTTAATAGCTTGTCATAATTATTATAACACTTTTCTAATAATTTTGGACCTATTATAAAACTTTTCTAATAATTATGGATCTGTTAATAATAGCTTATCATAATTATTATAACACTTTATAAAATGTTTTGACATTTTTTCTAAAATTCTAAAACTTATCGAGGGTTTCAAAAGTTTTTAGGCTGAATGCCATATGACTAAACTTATTAGAGGTCTAGTGAAATTTATCTTTTAAAAATTTAAGGAGAGACATGAGGATGTAAGGTTAATAGTAAACTAGTAACCTTCCTTTCTTCTTTGATAATACTAATCCCTCCTTTATGTATAAAAAAGAAGAGAATTAAAAATATGATTATTAGATTATTTTTAATTATATATAATAAAAATAAAAAATGATTATTTAATTTTTTTTAATTATAGAAAGTTTTGATTTGATTATAATTACCAAATATTTGACTATAATTAGAACTTTCTAATTATGGATAGGTTTAATAAAATGAGGATTCTAATTATGGATAGAAAATAAACCCATCATATAAAAATTCTAATTTAATATTAAAATTTCTATTATAAAAGTGGAATGCATGTTAAAATATTTCTTTCTAAAATGTCCTCCAACTATCCATTCATACATATATGATGATATGTACATATTTTGTTTTCATATTTTCTCCATTGATTACACATCCATTCACACATGAAAGATATATACATACTAAATCTTTCATAACCTGTCCATTGATTACCTTAAATTTATCATTTAACCATCCACTAATAACCTTCCCACGTCATCACTACAAATAACAACAAGATCTTATCTAATTTTAGGATCTGAGATGCAAGCCTAGGGGTGAATAGTTGCTACTCTTTTTCGCTAAAAATATAGAATATGCAGCAGAATACATAAAATAAAAGTTATAAATGATATAAAATAATATAATCACACACCAAAAGCTAAACTAGGACCATACAAGATTTTATTGTAGCTCGAATAATAATTCTACGCCCAGTCTTCCTTCTTGCGAATTTCTCACTATGTAAAGTGTTCACCAGAATCACAAACCCAATTCAATAGGCTTATAACACTGCACCATAGAACCTACAAGAAACCAGTCATCTAACCTAATACCCACAATAAGTACTGCTAGCCGTAGCTAGCCTTAGCTAGCCTCAACCCTCAATTTAGTGGGCTTGATACGATGTCAAAGAAGTTCAAAGAAAAACTCAAAAATAACAATTAAGCTTAGAATAGATGAAAGATCTTGTAACCCTTTGTTAAAACAAATCGTCCATCGAAGGAAAAAAGCGTAGCTTGATGAGAAATGGTGAAGAAATCAATCTAAGGGCAACTCTCCTTGCTGGAACAATTCAGAGATGTTATGCGCAATGAATGAGAATTTGGCGAGACTCCGGTTGTCAAACTCTTCAACTTGATCTCTCACAAATCAAACCCTAGCACTCCCTTTATTTTCTCTCTCTTTTTCAATGATATATACTCCACAATAGGTCAAGAAAGAGATATCCTAAATATGGTAAAGATTGGAGATATTATAAACAATGAATTTGTATAATTAAATCTAAAAATTTGCAAGTAGCTAACCATACCATGAATGGCGCATCTTGACCATTGATGGTGTCGAGACCCTATTGATGATTGAGAAGCCCATCGATGATATAAGAGGCTCTAGTGCAAAAACCATCGATGACACATGTTGACCACCGATGAGCTCATCTCACCATCGATGGTCATGCCTACCATTGATGGTAGAAGAGCTGAAATAAGCTTTTGAGCTGGTTTTTGTGTCGTTTCACCTTGTACACTTTTTAACCTAAACTATATCATCTCAAACCTATATTAGTACTAAATAAGAGTTTATTATCGCTTGAATAAGATATATTATATAGACTATG